CCCCCGCTTCGCGCCTGCGCGCGGCGCGCTTGGGAACGCCGGAGCCGCGCTACGTGCGAGCGAAGTGCCGGCGCGCTCCTGGCACGCGCGCCGAGGTTCTGCAGGATTTCGTTGTAGGTAGGGGTACCTAGGCAGCTGAGACGTCGGCCCCGCCCGGAACCGAAGCAGCGCCGGCCGGATCCCGAGCGGGTTCCCGAAGCCCGGAGGAAAGCGGCGCGAGCGGTTGCATCTCAGGACGCAGTTTACGACACGAGCCCTCCAAACAGCCCTGGCAGAAGGGCTTGCACCGTACTATTTGTAAACGTTTACTTGCTTTTACTCGTTTACAAAGTCTTGTAGTCTCAAGTCCTTTTCCCTCGTGTAACCGGTTCGAGCACCATCGGTACGGGGGCAGAAATTTAGCTTCTGACTTCATTAAGTCTCGGTGCTCATCTAACGGTCTACGGTATAAAGGTGGAACCTCGCGACCCGGCGCGAAACGCGCCTCCGGAGCTTCCAACCTCCGCTTAACCCGGGGCGATTCTCCCCTTCCGTGCTCCGGGCGCCGCGGGGAAACCGAGGCCCAAGAGCAAACGCATCGGTAATCCAAACTTCAAGACGCCCTGGGAAAAGCCGTGCCTCGTCCCTGCCCCCCGCCCGCGCTCTGGGGGGCCCGGGCTCGGCGTGCCCGCGCCGCCCCGCCAGCCGGCCTGTTCCAACCCAGTACTTTCCCAACAAACCCGCGCTGTGTCCCCGAACAAAGCCGTGCCTCCTCTGCCCTGGACGCTGCTCCTCCGCAACGGGGTCCCCCGCGCCAAGGGCGAGCTGCTGGCTTCAGACCAGCACAACTCAGTCCTGCGGCGAATACCGATCCACCCAGCTCGGCCTGGAAAGCCTCTCCTCAAAGCCCTCTCAGCAAGGGGCTAGGGCGGCGCTTTGCATACAGAGAGGGCCTGCAATTACAGCTCAGGCAGGAATTTCTCTTGCAGCGCACCGCTGCCGGCGCAGCCGCCAAGGAGCGAAGGCGCGACTGCTTCCAACCGGCAGGAAAGGTCTTGGGACGCTACTGGCAAGCTTCAGCTCCCTTTCTTCAGAACCAACCCCTTCTAGTTCAAGCAGGGCTAGAGCCTTGCTGCCGCTTCCCCAAGCCGCGAGCCGCTTGCCGCCGCTCTTAGTGCGCACGTTCGGGGAAGCTTTGGCAATGCCGGGACTCGAGGGTCTGTTCTTAAGAGGAGGAAGGCACCGCCGCTGCGGCTGGGGGCACGCTAGCACCTTAACTGTTTCGAGCCCGTCGTTTAGGCGGGATGGGGGACATCAAGAAGAGTAAGTACGTCAACAGCACAGAGGAGGCCTGAAAAGACGGCAGCATTCCGGGCCCTGGTCTTTACCTGCCGGCAAAGTAGGTCAAATTCCAAAGAGAATCAGCCGGTCGGGTTCCCTTCTTGCTTAACGCTGTTTGTGAGAGAGGCTCTGCCTGCGGTTTTACTTAAGGCCGCAAAAGCCGGCAAGAATCTAGGCAATTCCGTGCTACGCAAGCTATGTCACGAAACCCTTGCCGCGCCGGGCAGAGGGGGCGTCCTCCGGCAGGGAAGGCGAGCGGCACGCAGGGGGCCCGGGCGGGCCTTTGTTCTACGGGAGCGGCGGGAAGCCTTACCTCTGCTGGGCACCTTATTCCTACTGAATCCAGCAGCGGGCTGATGCCTGTACTGATGCGTCCCCAGCTCCTGCGCGTGATTAGCAGTTCCTAGCAAAGGTTCTGGGTCCCCGTGCCCTCCTGCGTTTACGAGCAGAGGGGTCTCGTGGCAACCTTTGGTCAACGCGCTCGAACTCTTACTGTCTGGAAAGCTGTCCCTGGCGCCCTCGCACGCGCAGTCCTCCTCCATGCTCTCCGAATGGAACAGGGCCGGCTGGTGCACGTATCCGTGCGGCGGCACTGACGCGGGCACCTGCTGGATACATTCTTGCGCCCTGATTTTTAAGAGGTGCTGGGGGCTGTTCTGCGGGTGGTACGTGTCAGCGCTCTGGTAAGGCAAAGACAGCGACTGGCGCTCCGAGAGGTTCTGGCCCACGCTGGCGCCCATGTTCCCAGCATCCCCTTGACTCATATGCCTGAACAACTCTTGAAATTCTTGCTGCTGCTGCTGCTGCTGCCGCCGTTTGCTGAGCTGTGCAAATTCTGCCTGGGGCAGCCGCATGTCCGTGTGCCCCGTGAGCGAGTGCCGGGGAGAAAGCAGTCCCTGGAGGATGTGCGGTACCTGCTGGTGTCGGCTGTAGTCGGGAGGCGTGGGGGACAACAGTGCTTGCTGTAGTGCCGATGCGGTGTAGTGCTGCTGTTGCTGATGTGCGTTTTGAGGGAAGCCGGGATACTGGTCGAGCTGCGGGACTTTCAGAGCTTGCTGAGCCGGAGGAAACCCAACTCCTCCCGACGGGCTGTAGCTGCTGGGGGAAACGCGAGGCTGCTCTGGGAACAGGTGGGGGTGTAAGTGCACCTGGTCGTAGTTGGCGGGGGGGTACCTGTTCACGTTCAGACTGCAAAGAACAGAAAAGAGCAAGTGACCGCGCTGCAGCGGCTCCGGCTCGGCCCGGCACGCCGGGCTGCCGTCTCCGGTCGGGAGGCGGACGGAGCTGCTTCGGGGCAGGAGGGGCTCCCCCTAAGCCAGGGGATACGGCAGCCCTGC